TGTTTAAACCTTTTGTTTATTGTGTTGATGAGTTTCATTATATCCTACTGCTTTAAATAAATTTTTGAATAATTACTTCCTTCCTAAAACTAACTTTATATTTTATTTATCTTTCACCTTTAGAAATCCTTAATTAAATTATTTAAAAAAATAAATCAACGTTTTGCACATTCTCCACATTTTTAACTATTTTACTAATTTCTTTAAAAATTAATTTGAAAATTTTTTTCCAATCAATAACCACCGCAACACTGCAATGCGCTCGACTAGCTTCCACAAATTACGCAACAGCAAATAAACGTGATCAATAATCAAATCAAATTCCATCTTTAAATTACTCACAAAATCGAATTATCGCCTTTTATTTTAAAACTTGTGTGCAATGCAATTATTTCTGTAATTAGCAAATAAATACCAACAAACACAACGTGTAACATGAAAAACATGCAAATGTTATGTAAATTTTGTAAAAATAAAAAGTAGAGTAGACTTAACCTAAAGTGAAATTGAAAAAGTAGTAATAATGACAAACTACAGAAAAACCACAAACAATTATTTGTATAATAACTATTAACATTTAAAAAAATCAATGCAAAAAGCGAAAAAATCATTAACAAAAAACAAAAACAAACGAAAATGTAACTAAAACTTAATTGCCGTAGTTAGCGTAAAATTAAATTAATTAGCAACTTATTAAATAACTAGAATTTTACATACAAAACAATGAGAAAAAAAAACAACAAAACAAAGTACGGAGCATATATGAAAGTATAGTAATTTAAATAAACATAAATACCTACATATGTATGCATATTCATAAATGTTGTAAATTAAATGTAAATAAATGGTAAATGTTAAATGTTAAAGTAAACAGAAAATAAACTCGTAAAAAACAATTGATGGCGTATGCAAATGTATATAGAATGTACGTGTGTGTGTGTGAAAATGCGGAAGCCACGCATATGAATTTATTACATGCCATGCTATGCTGTGCTATGAAAGCACGTATGTGTGTGCGTGCGATTTATGCATTCCGCGCAGCATTGTGTGGTAAACAAAAAACTCATAAATTTGTAGTTGTTGCATTAAAACCAATTTACAGCCTCATTGAAAAACAATAACTTTTTCAACAACTGCGAATTGCAATTAGCAGCAACACAGCACGCAAGCTGCAATTAACAATTAATTAAAAATCATGCAGTGCGCTCAAGGCCGGCACAGCAGTAGCCAGCCAAAAATAATGATTGCAAATAGTTTCAAGAAGGACGACCTTGAAAGTGAAAAATTTCAACTTCAACCAAACCATCCGAAGCACCAGGCAATCATAAAGACAAGGGAGGTTGCGCAAAATCAAGCGATCAGCATTATTTGGGTTGCTGAGAGTGGCAGCGCTACACTGTGTCTCTCACTTACATGTTTTCCCAACTCTTGCATTTGCGTGAGAACACTATACGCTCGCATTCACATGTTGTTTTTGCATATACTAAGTAGTAACAGTTACTGATCCCTGTTGAGCACGCCTCCGCTGGAATGTCCACTTATGAAGTTGCTATAACAACGGATCATTGTGTTTGCATTCAGAGCACATGCAAAACAAATGCATGCTGATTGGCAGATGAAGTGGGGAACATATCATAATTCACACTGAAAATGCAAATGCGGCAATAAGGAATTGTTCTGTCTTTCTCTCTGTAAGACGTATAAATTAAAAGTTGGCACGTTCAAGTTAGTATTATAATTTTAGAAGGAGCTCAAACTCACCATGTCGCTGTATTTACTGTGCGCGCCTGGTAAGCAACGATTGAAAAAATCCTCTTTTATTGATTTAGTTATTTCTTTGATTTGTTATGTGCGAGGGCTTTGTGAAAAATTTGTATTATTGTCGACTGCAAAATACCAGGCAAACAGAAAAAACAGCAGATATACCATGATAGGTTAGGACAATCTCTGCAGAGGACTACCAACGAAACTCTTTTAGCTGAAACCCATGTGGGTTCATGAGCGCCTGCTAAAATATCAGGTTTAGTGAATTGAGTTGGTTTTAAAAGAGTCTCAACGATAATAATTTAATGATCGCGGATTACAAAAAGAACTCTTTAAATTTTTATAAAGAACTGTCTCCAACTACCAGACAACCAAACAAATTAGAAGGCAAAGTTTATGCGTTTGGACTATGTAACTAGAAATTCCTTAAAAAGTTATTAGAAAAACAGGAAAATTAATAAGCAGCCAATAAATGTATAATTTTTCGTC